GGGGGAAAAAAACGCCCTATAGTATAATATTATATTTTTCATAACGGTTAGTTGGGAATCGATTATTAGTAACGTTATTTTTTTTGTATGTGCACTTCCTGTCACGTTGACGTGAACGATCGGAAACAATGGCCAATTCGTCACTATCCTAAGTCTATAATATGGTCGTCCATCGAGAATATTAAAACAATAATTTTCGTATACGGAAAAGACTGGCTAATAAACCAAAGAAGTGACGACTTTCCGGCTTTATACTATATATATATATATAGGTGACATAACCGATGCTTATATTAAAAACCGAGCAGGAGAATCCGAATAATAATAATAATTGTCACGGGTGTTCATTGAACCCTATAGTCGCACACGGTCAGTTTAAAAAAAAAAAAACCATACTACTATAATGGGTAATATTATGCATTCATTTCATTAACCCTCGTTTAAATCACCGCCTTTATCCGTATCACGCGTGTGTTAAAACATAAAACAATATAATAGTACCTAATAGTATAATATATGCGTTTTCTGAACTAGTACCACACAGCAGTGCATGGTATTATTATTGTAAGCCGTTAGTTCGAACATTGGCGGCAAAAGCACACATGAAAATTGATTCATTGTCTATTGTCTCTGTTACACAGATTTCTCTCCTGTTTCGGCGGTAGGTACACAGTGTTTACAATCGGATACCAATATCATATACAACACTCGTTCCGGTTAAGGTACTGATGCTGAATTCTCCAAATGACCCTATGCCGACCGATTTACATAACAATATTACAATAGCGGTGACAAAAACGGTTTTTTTGTTTTTTTTCATATTCGTGTGTTCTTTATCGACTTAACAGAGGAGCAAATAAATCACTTTCGATAACGTTGTTATCAATTATCGTTATCTATTGACTTGAGCCCGCCTATCTATCTGAGCCCGCCAGTGGGCCACCCGCGCAAATTGAAATAATACACGGTGTGGCCAACTTGATTTGGCCGAAATTATAATATTGAAGAAATTACATAATGCGTTGACGAGCCTATAGGTAGGTATATTATCTATAATATGTACAGTATACTGTTCCATGCGATTTGACAATAATCGTTAATTAAAATAACTATACCTACATACGTGGGCGGCCACATACATTTTAATTGAAAGTTAATTATATAAAAAAAGAAGTATGAAGTATGAGAGTTAATGTGGAGAATTATTGTGTAAAAAATGAAACTCCCAAACTGCAAGTGAGCGCGCCTAATCGCGTGGGACGGTTTAGTGGCGATTAATATAGGTGGCATATTATATTATAGGTGTCAAAATGTTTCTTTTTCAAAAGAAGTGAGGCGAGTGTAATGAGAAAACGCGGGGGCGTCGCTTCGGGTCGAAGATCTTTATTGTCTGTCGAGGGCATCGATCACCGGCATCGTACACACACACAAATAGCGTTATACAATATATGATGTATATTATACTATGTAGTAATAGCCCAGTCTATGTCGGTCGACCGCGGTTCCAACTGCAGAAATGTTGTGTGTGGACCCTGGGGATTATTTAGTAGTTTTAATGTACACTTTAACGCAAAAAGAGAGACTAAAGTCGGTATACCCAATTAGAAGAATACTCTTGTATCAAGGTGATACTGTATTTAAGATAAGACGCGAAGAACCAACCGCCCAACAATGAAGATTAATTTTTTCTTTGGTGTGGTCACACTGGTTTTAGTCCTTCTGTTTACTTCACTGTCGCATACAACGTAATATAAGGTATTATGTTAGACACAAACTATGAAAAGCACAGGTAGGAAATGTATTTGTTTTTTTTTCAATATTGATATAATGGTACCACTGGTTACAGTGGGGCCAACTTTGCGCTTCGGAAACGGTTGATATCGGTCGGTCTAAATTAATTTTGTTTTCGCTGTCTTTAAGAAAATTGTTTGTAAACCGACAAACGCCTTTCTTCATAATATGTTATCAACAGTAAAAATCACTCACATAGCGAATTGGCGAACACATCTGTAACACATCACCATCGTGGTAAGCTTAGCCGCAGAAATTATATATTCGCCCACGAGCAAAAAAAACCAAACCAAAATGACTCGACAACGATAATATAAAAGCTTTGTATGGTTTTATTTTTTTTTTTTAGCCACTTTATTCGCTCCTTGATAGTTTTCGATGATGACTTCACTGTTGTGTACTCTGTTGCCACTCCTTTCAGCTGCTAAGAGGACTCCCACTCGCTGTGGAAATTTTTCCTTCGGTCTGCTTCGAATTCGCACAACTGCCAGAGTTTAACCACAAAAATAAAAATCACTGTAATTTCTTGAACCTACGTGATTTTTATTTGATAGAAATCCTTCCGATTGCCATCTCCGCAAACGCCTTATGAAATAAAAACTAAAAAATAAATATAAAAAAACAGCTCCACTTGGAACAGCTCGATTCGTTGTCCGATAATTCGTTTTTCCACCGAGTTGAACGAACCCGTTTTACCTATAATATCAATCACACACGCACACACTCCTTAATTTACTATGTTATTGTATTGCAGTATTGTTATAGAAAATATCGAATACTTATTTTTCTTCAAACGCTGTTAGTGACTTGAAAAATTAACAGATTTGATAAACTGTTTCATAGTCCAGAAATCGAATATACACTTAGTTTCATAATAGCATTTAGTAAGTCTCTAAAATAGCTAGATAGGTGATTATTGTTTTTTTTTTGGAACATCTTCATTTTCTTATGGAGCAGTATTGATTTTTACACTATCAACTTATGTAGTGCAGTAGGTAAGTCGTTGGATTTCGGTACCTGGTTCAAATGTAAAGAGTAAAAATGTTTAGAGCTTTAACATCGAATAATGCCCTGTGCTCAGCACATAGAGTAATAATATAAAGAGATGAACTAACAAACACTAGGTTGTACGCTATTGTGAAGTAAACAGAAGGACTAGAACCAGTATGACCACATATGAGAAAAAAAAAGTCCTCATTGTAAAGCGACTCGTACTCTATAAGATCAAATCTTCACCCCTTATCTTAAAATACTATTGTTTTTTTTTTCAAAATACTGTATAGATATATATTTTTTTCTTCTAATTAGACAGACTGATTTTAGTCCTACTGTTTGCATCACATTCAAGTTACTCTGTGTGACTACTTTAAGTAAATCATTATTTTAAAAGTCGTTAAACACTGCACAGTATAATCAGCTATACGGACCAATAGATAAATTCGAATGTCACCACGTAGCATAATGTGACCAATAAACAATATGCTTCGTATTACAATATTATTGCTTCAAATTAAAATTGTAATGACTTCTTCATTCTGGTCACGCTGCAGCTCACACCTTTTCGATGACTTCATAATATTTCACTAGGTTTTCACCGGCTCTTAATATTTTTCGTTTCCTTTTTCCACCTCATTACTGTATCGTGCTTTGCTTTGAACCCTTGTTTTTCGGTCGTTGTACCCGGCATAAAAAAAATAATAAAAAAATATCTCATGCGGCGACCGTTAAATAGTACACTACACGACTACAGCCTATGCGAATGGATACGGTTTACACAAACGTCCTTGGCGAGGATTGACACGAAAAAAAAAATCTAGTTGCGACACGCGCGATGATAATATTCTAGTAACTACCATGTCTGGTCATATGAGGTTCAGTCGTGTTTTAGTGTCGTTCAATGCCAACTCCGGAAAGAGAGAATAATTGTATTATTGGCGGTACCTATGAGATATCACACAGCCGCACTCTGTCAATGGAATCGACCGTCAAACCGCCAACATTCAGGACCGAGGTCCTTTAAACATATTTTGGACACCGTTGCAGTTTTTCAGAAAGCTCATACTTGCACTGGAAGAAGTGGAAAATTGAACTGCGCGTTTTCTATTTGGGTACAAGACGGCTAGAAGTCCGTGATCTCTGATAAATGACAAAAATCGTAGATCGGTGTTCCAAATTTGACTTCAATGGCGTTTAGCACAAAAACTGCGGCCGTCCCTTGAAATCACCGGTTTGGAAACGATTTGATGTTTTACAAAACATTTGTACTTCAATATTGTTATCGTTATGTGTGTTTTTGAAACCTGATCAACATTTATTTTGTAGCATGGAAATCTCATTTTTTATGAATTTTTTGGATGGTTGTTTTCTATATAACGCCACGAAATGCGCAATCAAAGTAATGAGAACCAAAATGACAACTTATGTAACAATTTAATTGGTAATCTGTATTTTTCGTTACAATTTTTGAAAATGATTGAAAAAAACCAACTTGAGAAGAACATTTGGAAAATAAAATTTTTATTTTACTCTCCTGTAAAATTCTATATAAATTACTTATACTCTTGGATTTTCAACACTCTAAATATTAGAGCATATTATAAACTAGCGATGGAAATTATCCTTCTTTATGTACATAATCTTAGATTAGATTGGCCTGAACTTATTTTTGACAAGATGTTTTGTTATCCTATGCATTTCTACATTATTAACTTGCTAATGAATACCTAACCCAACCTAACCTACCTGCGTTGATTTTAAGATTTACAATTTTAATATATTTTACCGGTATTATTGACAACACTACTGATATTCAGCGTCGACCAGTGTTGTGACTTCCAATTACACACCAGCTGGCCCCAACTGCAGTTTGTGACATCATAGCCTGTAGGCTACATAATAGACATAATATTGTTACTTAGGTACTTTATCTTGCGACCGACAGTTTAAACGCAATTATTCACGGATACGTTGGATTTCCAACCGATCATTTTGTCACAGTGTCGATCTTCAAAACAGTTTGGGTTTTTGTCACTTTCACCTGATCGACCTGGTGGCGTAGGCATAGCATAGGTACGACCGCGCGGTTTATTGCACCAGACATTTAGCCAGTTGTGGTGTCGAGTGTTTATGCACGGGCCAACTCAATAATATTTTATTATTACTATTATTATTATGATGTTCTTAAACCGCTCGTTGTGTTTGTCTTACAGATAATAGCCGCGCGTGACGGCAACAAAAGGAAACCCCGGGTCGGTGCGGAATGGCTGCTCGGAGGAGTACCAAAATCTAGACATGGAGTCTAGAATAGGACTTGATTACATTGTCGAGAACCCCGAGTACACCGTCAAACTAGCTACAGGTAACAGGCAGTGATTTTATTTTCCTTATCGTGGGCCACAAGTGTTTTCATAGAAAGTGATATCAATTTGCCACAAATTCGTAAATTAGTACATTGTTCTCATTTTAAAAAGCTAACAAAATAGTATGCGTTACCGTTGAAAACTGTGGAAATGTGTGGAAACTAAGATCACATTGTATGAAAACACTATGCAATTATTAACTAAACCCAGTTAGACATTGAGTGACCCATCGCCATGTATACCGGCTAGTTGCTGTTATATTATGGTATACTTAAGCAAATACGCAGTAGGCGTCAATAGGTCCGACCCTACTTACTTACCAAAGTTGAAAGGACAGTCAATGTATAAGTCATGATGTCATTATGGTACCTGTAATTTTGCAGAACATTTTATTGGAAACGTTAATAAAATAAAATAAATTAGATTTAGTCTTAAAAAAACCTTAGACATAACATACACTACATTTGTATATCTATAATATAGATTTTCTTTTTATCTTACTGTACGGTTTTTTTTAAATTCTGAAAATTGAACATGTTGTTTTATAAATGATGTTAGAGAATAATAATTTCTTGCGGATCCACGTTGCTAGTTTTGTTGTTATACTTTATTGATTGTATATGTATATAATAAATCTCTTTTCAATATAAACTTAGTTCTCTTGATGCAAATATCATTGTAACCCGTACGTTTCATAGGGCTTAACTAATCTGTAATTTGTCACATGGTATTTTTACAGGGGTTTCATCTTTTACAACCAATAGATAATAATGCCCTTCCTTTAAATCGTGTAATTCGTGGGTCACTCAATATCGCACTGGATCAAATTATTTAGTTGAAGTGTTTTCACGAAAAGTGATATCAATTTGCCACAAATTCGTAAATTAGTACAATGTTCTGATTTTAAAAAGTTATACATTGCTGTTACAATATGGTATACTTAAGCAAATACACGGTTATTATTGTAACACTAGGCGTTAATAGGTCCGACCCGCCCACTCACCCACCTGTCCGAGGAGAACGTGTCGATTGTTGAAAACATAATGTTATATATTACTGTGTTATTCCGGTTCGCCAATAAAAAATAAAAAATAAAAACCTACTTTATGTAATAGTAGGCGATCTAGGATGCTGGGCAGAAAGATCTCTGGTTTTCAAGATTAGTTTAACGTGCCAACGTGCCGTGATCGCGATGATAATGAGGAGGAATGACATTTTTTTTTTTGCCAAATACAACTAAGTTTTTTTGTTGTTTTCATTTGCTTACAAATCAGGTTCGGTAATAAAATAATAATAAAAATTATAATGTTACAGTAATATGTTGCGTGTAACGTTTCTCGTTGTACGTCAGCGCATATAGTTAAAGATTACAGAGCACGTTACACCGCATTGCACGCAGATTACATCTTAATCTTGGCTCGGGGTCTTGATAGTCGATACAGTTAAGTGTATTATATTATTATGTTTATTGGTTTCCGACCGACCGCCACAGTAGTTTGCCAATAATTATTGTAATCATAATTCATTTAAGCAAAGCCAGTACAGTTGGGTTAAGCCCTAGTGGGAAGAGAGCATAAGGTCTTCATGGGTGGCGCAAAAAATATTCTTCTCATACTGTCAATAACGATATGACAAAAATATTTTCAAATACCTGTTGACTATATTGATCAACTCAGACATGGCAAACTGACTGTCATAGTGTAATTTTCCCTTTCTATTTAGTTTTCCTTATTGAAAGAATGTTTGACTTTTGAACTTGTTGAGAACATTTTATATTATGTATGGCCACACACTAGGTGCGATTATTCAGTCTAATTTCCAGACCTAAAAGCTTTCAAACTTCACATAACACAAAAGTGTATTCAAGAAAAAGTTACCACCCTTTCTAAGGGATAGGGTTTGTGATTGTTTTTGGTTTGTCGACGTTAGTATTAGTATTATGACTAAAAAATATCCCATGCAGAATTTGGAACTAATTCAATTAGTTTTAAAAAAGATATGTTGTTTCAAGCTGAAAAATATGTACATTTTTTGTGTGTTTTTCTGGATTTTAAACGGGATGGGGTGAACTTTTTAAATTTGTTGGTCTAATAAAGTACATTGTAGGTACAATTTCTGGTCTATAGTGTTGCTACATACACACACAAAAAAATAACATCATTATTTAAACAATATCTTCTCAGCTACTACGCGTAGAAGCTAAAAATAAACAATTATATCTATTTCTTATGAGTGTTTACTTTTTTATACATATTATACATGTATAATAACATGTTCTGTGTGTATGCAAGACACTTCATAATATTATTATTATTTGAATTTACAAATTAATTCGTTGCCCGCGGCAAATAAAAATAAAACGAAATCTCATGGGCTCTATGGTTAGAAGATAAGATTGACCTTGAGCTCACAAACTCTTGGCGATGCTCTCCAGTTGATCGGCGGTCAGGTTAATTACACAAGCCAGAACGGTAATAAAACATGTATATTTTATTAATGAGTTTTTCGATTTTTCTAATATTAATGCGCACCATACCCACACAGTAAGTACATTTTACTTGCCATCAAAGTTGAACAACGTTGTTGATGTTGATAGAATACAGCTGATAGGGAATTCTGTAGTGGTTTAAAATATAATTTAAGTCGTGTATGCCCGTCTCACATTGTATTACCAAAAAGAGATACCCGTTTGCTTGCACAAACATTTCCGTGAGTGCACCTCCAGTCATAAATAATACTTAATTTACATTTAAGTAGGTATATAATATTTAAACACACACACACTGCATTTGTTTTCTTTAAAACTGTTTTTTTTTCTTTTGTAAACATTGTCTTTGCCTACTGCATAATAATGCATTTCAAAATAAAAACAGGACGCATGTCTGAAAATAATGACTTGTCGATATAGGTATGTATTTTTGAACTACTATCACAGCTGGGTGGTGCGTTGTACCTATGTAAAGGACAAAAGTTTAGAAACGAGCATCTTAATTAATTCTGTGAAGCGTGCACACAAAGCAATTCATTGCACCTTTTCTCGCTTGCATAAGCTGTGAAAGATGTTAATAACTTAAAAAAGGTAATCATCCAAAACGGGTTAGACGGGATTATCTATTGTCTTCAGTTAAGTATTCGACGACAGTATGACTAACATTTTTAATTTACTTAAGTCCACAGGACAGTCAATGTATAAGTCATGATGTCATTATGGTACCTACCTGTAATTTTGCAGTTAAAATGAAATACTTAAACTACATATCCATTGCTACATGTATAGTTTATGTTAGAACATTTTATTAGAAACTTTAATAAAATAAAATAAATTAGATTTAGTCTTAAAAGTACCTTAGACATAACATACACTACATTGCGTACCTATAACACAGATTTTCTTTATGAATGTATTTTTATTATTATCTTACTATACGGTTTTTTTAAAAATTCTGAAAATTGAACATGTTGTTTTATAAATGTGGTTAGAGAATAATAATTTCTTGTGGATCCATGTTGCTAGTTTTGTTCTTATACTTTATTGATTGTATATTTATAATAAATCTCTTTTCAATATAAACTTAGTTCTTGATGCAATTAATATCATTGTAACTAGTACGTTTCATAGGGCTTAACTAATCTGTAATTTATCACAATTTTTACAGGGGTTTCATCTTTAACAACCAATAGATATATCCCTTGCCCTTTTTATGCCCTTTGTTTAATCACCTTGCAATTGTGTTCACTAATATTTTCAATTTCAGTTATACTTGTATTGTTTATTTTTTATTTAAATTTTACTATTCATTATTATATTGATTACTAAAAATTAAAAGCTATGTAAATAAGATTAATAATTTGTGACCAACAGCAAAACGGAAAACCTAATATTTTTGTATGAAACAGATTTTGTATTCTGATATAAATTATAATTATATATGGTGTGTTTATACATATAAAAATGCCGCTAGGCCTCTATTAAATATTACAAAATATAGACAATCTAAGTTAATACATGTAATATGTAGTAAAACGTGGGAATATCCAGCAGCGACCGGTGTTTGTTAATTTAGCTATATTAAACTAAACTATAATATGTTTAAACTATTGGAACTGAAAACGTTGCCCGTAATGCAAATGAAATTTTAAAACGTTATTTAGTCCTCCCTTAATTTTTAACCGGAATGTATATAAGTGTTTTTTTGTTAAAATTGTGGACCAACCTGACTACAAATTACAATAGAACCAATTACACATAGGTAACACTTGATATATCTATCGTTTTAAGCACGGTTGATTGTAATCTACCGTGGTTTTAAGCAACTTACTTTTTCAATGGACATTAACTATTGTTTTGTTTTTTAAAAATTGGAAAAAACGAATACGGTTTGTCTTAGCAAGACTGAAAGATGCAAATAGTTTGTGTATATTCATTTAAACAAGTAAACTGTGAACAAATGTTCACAAAATAAACATAACATTAATTGAAGTATTAACATGTTTATTTATGAATTATGATAAATTGAAATTAAAAACCAAAAAGGTTCAATGTTGTTAGTTACTTATCAAAATATATTGTCAAGAAAATGAAATTCCCAATAATTGATATAATCACATATTCAACGCCATTCGGTATGCTTTATTTTCTTTCAAAATTATCATTAAAAACATTAATATCTCTGAAGTCAGTATTATAAGGGTACTATAATGAATGGTTTTTAGACAGCGGATACACATTAAGTGTTACTTACAAACAGCCCTACGGTTAGAGAAAAGAAAACCGAATAAGCAGAATGTGTCATTATAAAACCAATTCAAAATAGGCACTTGTTTCTAAACAAAAAATTTAAAATATACATTGCAAAGTAGGTATTAGGACAAGACTGGACACGAATAAATCGGATAAAGCTATTATAAAAAGAAGTTTTGAAGAACGTGATGGTGTTAACTATATTGTTTTGCTGGCGGCCATGCTGGTATCGTTTAATAGCATAGAACTGAATTTTTG